GAAATTTTTTTTTCTTTAAACTAAATTTTTCCTCTAGAGAAAAATTTTAGAGTCTGCACACCTACTGACGGGAATCTGAATAGTGTTATTTTATTGAGAAAACTTACTGAATGTTTATTCTATTTGCATAATGTCATGATGATAATCCATATGTCATAATATTCGTACCAACCTATTATTTAATGAACCATATTTATTATTAAATGTAGATTTCCGTGGCAATAACTTATGATTCGACTACTGGGACATGGGAATTCAGGTATCGGGACATGGACGTTTTTTGGATTCAACTACTAGGACATATTTCTTACATAATAAATTCATTTAGTTTGATGTTTTATAGCTAAAAATAATTGTTTTCGGTCAAATAAAGTTGGGTAATCCTCTAGAATAATTCCTCTATGACCAATATAACCAAATTTATTTTTATGCACGTTCTTTCATCGACTCTTCCTTAAAGAGTTAGCTACCGGGACATTCATCTTATGACTGGAATGTGAAATTATTTTTTGGTCATGAATGTTAAAAATTGAAAGATAGTTGAAATGATGGATAATTAGATGAAGTTGACTTGATGTCAAGAGTGAAATAAGATAAAAGTGGTTAATTGCTTTCGTCACAATATAGTCAATATATTTTGGCTCATAAATTAGCAATGCGCTTCCACATGTGAATTTCTATAACGATGGAGTTTGAATTGAATTCAATGATTTATTGTATTCAATTTATCGACATTGCCTTAATATTGGCAGCGAACATTGCACCAAAAATATTGGTTTCAAAATAATTTTTTTCAACAAAAAATGATGCAATCAATTCCATGATCGAACTTGGTCAGGATGGCATTGAGAAGAATATTGTAAATTATAATTAGACTCATTGAAACAATTATTTTTTCAGTTATCCTCGAAAAACCATCAGTCACATATACCCAACTTACACATACATATATACGTTCGGACCTGGTCTAAAAATTGCATATTCGAACTCCTGAGTCCAAAAGTAGTTATCCTGATACAAATGTTGGCATTTTTGGATTCGACAAATACAATGTTTCCATTTGGAAGTAAAATTAATCTCATGTTTTTCTAAATGATTCAGACCAAATTCGTAACTTACATAAATAATATAATCGCAATTTTTTTATTCGATTTTTGTTTTTAAACGCTTTGTGAATTGCAATCAGTACTTATACCACAAAATCAAAGAATATTGAATTTTATCGGTGGAATAAGAAAATCGGAATACTTTTCATTTAAACATTTTCAATCATCTAATTTATCAATTGAATTGGATAGGAAAAGCTTGAAAATGAAGGACGTATAATTAGCGGCTTTCGACCAAAATTCCATAAATACTTGCTTTTTTCAATATTCTCTTCTTATGAATGAATAATACAATGGTTCAAATTTACAAAAAAAGTCATTTTTTCAATTCGGTTACAGTACAATTCAGGAAAAATTATGGTGTTTGAGTTAAAAATTGATTATGATTGAATAATTTGTAAGAAAAAAAGTGATGGTCTCCAAAAATCGCAATTTTTCAATAATTTCAATAGTTTACTTCGAAAAGTTGGCTTGCTATTTTTTTCCATCTTTTTTCAATATTCCCTCATAATTATGAGTAAATTGCAGTTATACTGTTGAAAAAAAAATTGAAATTTTAAGGACAGTTTAATAGTAAATTTTAGGAGTTTGAGATGGAAAGTCATAAAGTGTAAAATTCCACTGAAAATTTACTGCAATTCAACATTTTTTAACTGCATGAAGATGAAAACTTTGAAGTTACTTGAATTCTCATGCAACATATGATCATTCTGTACCTAATTATTCGATAGTTTCGGATGCTGAAGCAATTATAATTGTCCAAATCGAAAATAGAATTATTTAACTTTTTGAATATTGTGTTCAGTAAATTTTTTTCGAAAGTTGATTGGAATCAGTAGGTAGAATTATGCGATTATAGAATTTTAATGCGACACAATGAAAACCATGATCAATTTTTTCGTTTTGAAAAAAAAAAAATAATATCCAAATTTAAATATTGTAGGGAACAAGAATAACGATATTTTTGTCATATACTGTGAATTATTAAGATGAATTTCAGATTACCGAAAAAGGATGGTGCAGAAGTCACAGTCATTTCAGGTTTTTAGTTTCAATTTTGTGCTGGAAACATGAGATGGTATTCAGAGGATAGTCAGTTTTTTCCGGATGTGAGATCATACGACAGTTTTCCGGAGAATTCAAAATAATTATGAGGATATCTCTTAAATATTAGAGAATTTTTGAATAGACAATGGGAGAACAAATAATAGGGAAAGGTGGAATTTTCCAAATAAAACTGATGTAAAAGAGTTACGAGCTCGAACATAATTTGAAAAATTCGAGAAATTTATCTAATTTTCTCAACAATTTCACAAACATTCAAAAAAAAATTCACAAAAATTTCGAAATTTTATGGAGAATTTGAAAACATTTCAGATGATTCATGATTTAAGTTTCAAGTCCTATAATATCTAATAAAAATGTAAGAAAAATCATGAATGACGAGAAATACTCCGAATTAGCCAAAGAGCATCAGAATCGGCCTTATAATTTTTCCAAAAAAATAGTTGAATGCTATTGTAAAGGTGTAAAAAAGAGTCAAAGCGGCGGCGAAGACTAAAAAATTCGGTGTTGTGAGAAATTCAATAATTATTGTTTTGTACTCTAAATCGAATTTTGATTATAATTATAAGTAGAACCGCATTCAAGGAGCACAGAAATTTAGAATTAGTAAATCACTTATTGAAATACTAACATTTAACAGGCGATCAACCAATAAGCATTATTTTCATGAATCTTAACACTCAGTATAATAAGACGATGATGAATCATTCATTTTTGAAAGAAACACAAAGAAAAAAATTTAAAAAGATATAAGGAAAGGGCATCAGCGTTGCGGCCACGGCGGCGCTAGCGAATATGAAAAAGGAGCCTTTCAGTTTGACTGAGATAATAATGGAAAGCCAAAACTGTTAAGTCTTAACTTAAAACCAGAAAAATTAACATTTTAGGAAATTCGTGACGATGTGTTTCAACTTTACAAAATCCACTTCAAATAGGATGGATAGGGGATGAATTATAGGAACCTTCAGGAAGTTTGCAAGTTCTCTCAAAAATCAGAAAATTGTCGGTTTTATCCGAATGTAAGATGATTCGAGCTTCCAAAGAATTTAAAACAATTATGAGATTTTCTGAAAAAAATCAAAAAGATCTGTTTTTTGAGTTTTTCAGAAATTAGAACAAATTTTCAGTACCTCTCAAATATTAGTTTTTGAATAAACCATGAGAGAACAATTGATAGGAAAAAGCGGAATCTACCAAATAAAACTGATGTGAAGGAGTCACGCGATCCCAACTACTGTACTCTGATTCAAATGAGAAAAAGAACATAATTTGAAAAATCTGAGAACATAATTTCACCAAAATTTCCACGTTTTTCAAGCAAAATTCATAAGAATTTCGGGATTTCATAGAGAATTTGAAAAAAATTCAGATGATTCATCAAAGTTTCAAGTTCATGGCATAGTCGAATAAAATTGTGTAGAAGAGATTATGAATGAGGAGAAAATACTCCGAATTAGCGAAGGAGTATCAGAATCGGTCATATAATTTTTCCAGCAAAAATAATTAAATGCTTTTGTAAAGGTGTAAAAGAGAATAAAAGGAGTGGCGAACACAAAACAATTCTGGGTTGTGAGACCGTTAATAATTATTGTTTCGCACTCTGAATAGAATTTTGATTATAATAATAATTAGAACATCATTCAGTGAGCACAGAAATTCAGAATTAGTGAATCACTTATTGAAATATTGAAATTGAGCAGGTAATAAACCGATAAACATTGTGTCCATTAATCTTAATACTTAATTTACTAAGCCGACGATGAATCATTAAGTTTTGTAAGAAACACAAGGAAAAAACGAGAAATAGAATAATGAAAGGGCATCAACGTCGCGGCCGCGTTACTTTAACTTTAACCACGAGTTAACGATGGTTAGTTTAACGAAAAAACTGGCCGTGTTCTCTCAATCTGAGCAAATTTGTGTCTGAGAAACGGAATCGTCTGAAGTCGAAGAATGTCCAAAGGCTAATGTTCCTTAATGCTAACTTCCAGTTCATACCTTAATATGTTGAGAAAAGTAAAAAATACAATTTTATGATTCAAATTAGATATGGGTCGTAAAAATGATCATTCGTTTGTGCAGATTATTGTGCAAATATCTCTGAACTCATGGGTTTAAAGGAAAATATTATAAGAGCTTCTTTGTAGAACAGGAAATTCCCAACAACAGATGTCTTCTAACATTTTCCTCTAAACCTCTTGCTTTTGAAGATATTCCATGAAAAATGTACACATTTGTTTCCAACATATCCCACTTTATCTCTGCAGTGACGATTACATTTTCTAGAATTTTTTTTACCAATGATTATCATAATTGAATTGTTTTTCTGGTTGTCGATAAGGTAAAAAAAAGTAACGAATAACGAATACAAAAGAACGAATACTTTCAAGTCCTGCAACGAATACTTTCGGGATTTCGGGACTTGAAAGTAACTAGATTGCACATCCCTAATTCCAACGTTGGAGGCTAGTGAGTACCATGGAAAATAAAAGAGAACTAGGGTCGTCCAAACCCCGAGAACTGAGCCTCTACTTCAGCCCATCCTCTTTGACGTTATCACTGGGAGGCCGCCATGACAGTATCCACTCATGAATCTTTTTAGTTGGGAATTAGTTGGGAACTTATGAAAATTACTTAAATCTTCTGTATATGATTAATACTACAATTTCTAAGATAAAAAAGTCAAGAAAATCTAGAACAATAGAAATATAAAAGAGACGTGAATTTTCAATGATTGAATAAAAGTAATAAAGAAAAATGAACGAATGGTGTAAATTAAAAATGGACAATAATTTTCAGGTGTTTTTCAGGCAAGAAATAGAGAATATGATTAGCAGAACTTTATGATTTATTACAAATTATTGAATCGAAGTGCCTGAGCAATCAGAACAATGTTTTCTGCAGCCATGAAATTCCAATGTTTTTTCAAATTATTTTGCGGTTGTCTTCAAAAACAATTGTTTCGGAAATAATTGAGAAACCCTTTTTGTATAAATGTCAGAAATCAAAAACAATTTCTTGACCGCTTCGTTTGCACCTAATAATTTCTCTAATGCCGAGAGTAATGCGAGCATAATACGCAAATCCATCTCCTGTTCCCCTTTCACTGCATGGTTTCTCTCGAAATTATTTTTCATTCAAATTCAGTAATAGTGTTTCCCTGCTCTAACTCCTTTTCTTCAATCTCTCTTCAAATCTCTCAATGTAGTGACTTGACAACAGCGTTAATCTTCTCAACACATTCCTCCTTCTTCCTGGTGATGATGCCCTCAGCATCGACGAACTGCTGGCGACTAATCTTCCCAGGAACCAGTTTATCTACGTAAAGTGCCTGTTGTTGGTTATAAAATTCCTTCAGCTGTTTATCGTATTTCTGGAGTTCTTGAATCCTCTCATAAACATCAGCTGAATCACTTCTCAGCTTCTGCGCCAGCTCATTCACAGTATTAGTGGCATTCTTATACTCTTGATTGATGGACTTCATGGCAGAAAGAAACGCCGCAGTGTCCTTATTTGCCTTCAAATAAACCAGATGCTCGTCGAGTTCATTATAAGAAGTAACTCGTTTATCCTGAGCTCCAAGAATTTTTTCACACTGCCCTGCAATTCTCAGTCTACTCTCTGAAGCTTCATCCTTATCAATAGAGAAATCCAATCTCACATAAATTATTACCAGGAGAAACAACAAATAAAGAGCCACCGCGACCAGTAGAGGCTCCTGCAGCATCAGAATCCTCGGAAAGTTGTACTTTAATTGGAAATCCTGAATGTGGTGCTCCACGAGATTTCTTTTCGTCACAGAAATCACAGGACGTCCGAAGGTATCCAAATAAGAATAATGAAGTGAATCAGATAGCCTTGTAGCGTCATAAGGTAGGAACAACTCCAGATTCTTCGATCCCTCTGGTAAAATAATCTTCAGGACCAACTCATCTACCACCATATCATCAAAAATATGGTCAAGGACCCTCATTTTTAAAACAAATTCTTCCCCATTCTGGAAAAGATACTCATAACTGGGTACGTTGTATCCAATGGTGTAATGAGTCTTCCACCCTCCAAACAATGGAAATCTAGGTCTCAAATTAACATCGACAGAGTCTTTTTTTACCCTAGTGTGAGAGGTCGAGATGTTTCCAATTTCGTCTCTGTAATAAATATCAGAGGCAGCTGCAGGTAAGATTGTGTCGAAACTTTGGATGCTGGCCTGTCCTGATTTGGATTCTCTGGAGTATTCGTACCTGGAGAATGATCCCTTCAGTAGAGCACCAGTATGAAGCAGGTCAATAGTCTCCTCAACAGCGATATTACCCCAGTGGGAGAGTTCTAGAAGCCTCTCCAGCCTCGTGATCGTTAAAAATTTGTTGCTATTTTCGAAATGTACAGCGAATCCTTCTTGAGTGTAAGGTAAACGTTTTTCTAAAGGTCCATAGATGATGGTGGTATCACTTACTGAGACTGGTTTGATCCTGGTGAAGCTCTCGATATTTCTCGAAGGCAAAACAATATTGGTAGTTTGCCTCTGGACGGGGTAAGGTGACCAAACGTTGATATTCCCAGTATACCGTACCAATTGCTTCTCTTTTTGGGTTATTTGCTTGGGGTACGGATCCAATTCATGGGTTGAGACAGTTTCTACTTCCACCGGGCTTGTCCGACCTGGTTGGATAGGGTCTTTAAGCTCAATCTTGTAAAGATTTTGTTCCTCATGGCCACGAAGTTTTGTCTCCCATAGAATCAACTCCGTCCTACTCGCGTCCCTTGTGTGCGCAGAGATATAGCTCAATCCTGCCCGTTTGTGAGGTTCGATTCCGAAGTAGAAATGCTTTATCGGAGATTTACCTATATTCTCTACCACAAGTTTCGTAGTTATCTTCGTTAAATGGGATTGAAGGTCTATCGTTCTGTCTACATTCTTGAGGAGAATGCCTGTATTGAGCTCTTCCAAAGCGAGTATTATTGTTACTGATGATAAAAACACGGTGAGCACCAGAGAGATCAATGAGCTCTTGGTTCGAGTCATTCTTATGAATTTTCACACACTTTTGGAGGTTTAAGTCGCTCAATATTTTAGTGTTCAATGGATATCTACCGGCTATTGACGGTTTATAGTCGTTGGAATTTAGAACAGGCCGATATAAACGTGGCGACAGGCAGAGACGTGGCCGCTGTTCAACACGTAATTTTTTGGTGGTGGGGATGCCCAAAGAGGATTGACTAAAGTAGAGGCTCAGATCTCGGGGTTGAAGTGACCCCAAGCCAAAAATAGTTCGACCCCAACGGAGGGATGGCGCCACGGTCGAATCTGACGGCTGAGCGACTGCCTGTGCGGGTAACTCGGCAAGTCGGCAGTAGCAGTCCCGCTGTCACAGGGATAATTTCGGAGGGAAATTTATCCAGAATGAAACCCAGACGGTATGATGGAGAATTAAATTCGCCATCAATCGATCCCCGTTGCATCCCTTAATCTCTGTAACAAAAAAATACAAACTTCGACAAAAGTTATGGGCCAGTGAGAAACAATTTTCTTCTCGGCGCACAGTGACTTTTCACCATCCGCCCGCGAATTAAAAATTTGTCTTTCCCCTCCTAATTGAAATTAAGGGATGAAAAAAAGGCTGTTTGACGGAAAACTAAATTACCCATCAATTAACACTCTTTCATCCCTGAATCTCTGTAAAAAATGGAAGAAACTGTCATGGAAATCACAGCGCAGTAAGAAAAATAATTGTTTTGCGGCGCACAGTGACTCCCGGTAATTAAAAATT